CAAACAGATTCATCCTGGTGAGGGTTAAACCAGGCTACTCCTTGGAGGCAAGGATTCTGGGGCTCTGTCTGACATACTTTGGACATGTTGTAAGGAGAGACAGGTCCTTAGAGAGGGAGTCATGCTTGGTAGGGTAGAGGGACAGTGCAGGAGGGGAAGACCCTCCAAGAGGTGGATTGATTCAGTGACTGGGGTACTCGGGATGATTGTGTCAGAGGCAATGCGCTTGGCACAGGATAGAGCAGGGTTTAGGGATGTTGTACATAGGGTCGCTATGAGTCACAAACGACTCGACAGTACATAACAACAACAACAACAACATATATATCTAAAAAGTTGTTTTGAAAAATGCCTGGGCATGTGCATTAATAATTATAATATTTATATTTAGAATCTGCAATTATTTTCTCAGTAATATTGAAAAATCTCTTACAATTTTTATATTTGAACTTACTTGAGTCTAAGATGAAGATGCAACTATTTAGCATGTCACTACTTCCTAAATATAAGTACACAAGTGAAATAGTTTTCATTTATAATGAACTTTGAAATGTTCATTCCTAAAGAATTAGCACATAAATAGAAATTCTTCTGGTATTTTTTTGCTTTTAGCCAGGATCTGTCTGACATCAGCAATTGTGCTATGGTATCCTCTAAATCCAGCTTGACCTTCTTGTGCTTATTCTCAGTTAGTTTACTCTTCTAGCTGTTTTTGAATGATCTTCAGGAGTATTCTGTTTCCTTGTGATATCAGTGATTTTGTTCGATATATCCATATTCTGATGGATCACATTTCTTCGGAATGGGAACAAATATGCTTCTCTCCAGTCAATTGGCCAACTATCAGTCTTTCAGATGTCTTGCTACAAAGTTGTCAGCATGTCCAGAGCTATATTTATTAGCTGAAACATGTTAAATGGTATCACATCAGTTCCTGGGGTGTCATTTTTCATGAATGGCTTCACTCCATCTTGACCATCTTCCTTCCTTACGATTGATTCTTGATCATATCGTACTTCTAAAATATTTCAGTGTCAACCAATTCTTTTTGATATAGTGATTCTGTGTATCCCTTCCATCTTCTTTTGGTGTTTCCTGGGTCATGCAAAATTTTGCCCATGGCATCCCCAAGTATTGCAGTTTGATGCTTGACTTTTTCAGTTCTGTAGTCCTGAAAAAAGCTGATTGAGTCTTCACCTTTTATTCTCCAAGTTCTCTTCACATTCTGCTTTAAAACTTGCCTTTATATTCTTGAGCTTTCCTTTGAAATCTTCTATTCAGGTTTTTTAATTCAGCATCTCTTCCCTTTGTTTTGTTTTCTAGATACTGTAGTGTAATTTTCAGAGTCTCTTCTGAAATCTATTGATCGTATTATTCATAGGTTTTTCAAAGACACATTATTTTGGAAGTGGATGGCCAATATTTCTTCCTCGTTTGTCTTAATTTGGATGCTTACTTTTAGTACAGTATCTGACAGACAACTATTTTACCTAGAAGGGTAGGTAAAAGACTCTTCACCATTATAAAACAAATAGATTTGGTGTCACCCCTCCCCACAGGGCATGTGTTGTGATTCCATCCCTCTGCCTCACCTCACGAGTACCTTCTCCTCCCACAATTAACCCCCCATAGGATGACTCAAGCCTCCAGTCACTTCTGTCTGTTCATTGTCTCTCTACTCCCCAGGGATGATGATCCTCTAGGCAGGTCCAAAAGGGCACTGGTCTGTTGGGGTGCCCCTAGAATAGTAGATATGGCACTGGAGGCTGAGCCCTCTAATTGGCAAACACAAATGAGTAATAACTGTTGCAGACAGACGCTAGTGATTGGAACATGGAATGTGAACAGTTGAATGTAGGAAAGCTGGATGTTGTTAAAGAAGTGGAACACATAAATATTGCCATATTAAGCATTGGCAAGATGAGATGGATTGACTTGAGAAATTTTGTATCACACAAATCATGATCTACTACACTGGAATTGAAAAAATGAATGCATTATCTGTATATTACTTTTAAAATTGGCTTTTCAGTCTAATGTGTGGCTCCCCAGTAGGGAAATGGTTTCCAGCAACTTAAACTATGGACATTTGGTCTTTCAAATCATTAACATCTCTGAGACCAACATAAAAGAGCACTTCCGCACTATGAGTATGGGTGAAGACACCAACATAGGAGTGGCAGTTGACCTTGTTGAGTTAGCCCAAGCATGTGGAGTAAACATGCAACTGCAACCGGCCTGGCCCATTTCCCTGACAGATCTGAGTCTCTGGATGACCATGCCGTGAACCAGTGTACTCAAGGGGCATAAAAGAGCTGGGCAACTGAACCAAAGAGATATTGATGATAGAAGTCATTGACTTTTACAGCAGGTTTAGCATTTGGGACTACATTGACTTGATACTTCTCATAAGTAGTCTGCTACTAATCTTGTTCTTATTGTTGTTATGTGCCTTTGAGTCACTTGCAACTCATAGTGACCCTATGTACAAGAGCTCTAAATCCTGCTCTATCCTGTGTCAACCTCACTCTCCGACACACCTATCTATTCCCACCACCCTAATCACTGAATCAATCCATCTGATCGAGGGTCTTCCTCTCCTGCACTGTCCCTCCACCCTCCCAAACATGATGTCCCTCTCCAAAGACTGATTCCTCCTCATAACATGCCCAAAGTATGTCAGACGAAGCTTCAGAATCCTTGCCTCCAAGGAGCAGCCAGGTTTCACCCTCTCCAGGACAAACCTGTTTGTTCTCTTAGCAGCCCATGGTATATTCGACACTCTTCTCCAGAACCACAGCTCAAAGGCATGATCTCTTTCTATCATCCCTAGTCACTGTCCAGCTCTCTGATGCATAGCACACAGTTGTGAAGACTATAGCCCAAATCAGGTGCACCTTAGTCTCCACCCTGACTTTGTTGCTCTTCAGTACTCTGGAGAGGTCCAGCAGAAAATAGGGAGGAAAAATTGACTTTTGTTCATAGTTTAAAAGACCATTTTTATCCATCCTGAAATACTATATCTGTATACATAAAAGGAAGACCTGCCACTACCACTGTCATTCAAATATATACACAACCACAGGAACTATAGAGGAAGAAATAAAAGATTTCTACCAACTTTTGTAGTCAGAAATCATGGAAACATACAATCAAGAAAGACTGTAAGAGTCAGAAAACCCTAATGGCCTTGCTCAACATTTCTTAAGCCGAAAGAACTGAAGAACAAATTCAAACCTTGAGTTGCAGTAGTTAAAAGATGCTATGGTCAGAAAATTGAATGATCCAGGGAGTATCAAAGAAGATGGAAGAATTACACAGAGTCACTGTACCAAAAAGAACTGGCTGGCAGAAGAATTTAATGCAAGAACATATGATCAAGAGGCAGTGGTGATGAAAGAGGAAGTTTAAGTGCTCTGAAGGAAGTTGTTAAAACTAAGGCCCCACAAATTGATGGAAGGCCAGTTGATATATTTCAACAAACAGATGCAGTCTTCAAGTGCTCACAGATTGTGCCAAGAAATCTGGAAGACAACTGATTGGAAGAAACATTTATTCTCTCCATAAAAAGGTGATCCAGGAGTGGGGAAATTATTGAGCAGTATCACTAATCTCATGCAGAAGCAAAATCCTGCTGAAGATTATTCAGAAATGTTTGGGGAAAGTACATTAGCGGAGAACTGTCAGATGTGTACACTGGGTTTAGAGGAGGGCATGGCAGTAGGGACATCATTGCCAATGTCAGATGGATCTTGGATAAAAGCAGAGTCCTAGAAAATGTCTATGTGTGTTCTATGACTGTGCAGAGGCATTTGACTGTGAAGATCCCCACAAATTAATGCTAGCATTGAGAAGAATGGGACTCCCAGAACACTTGATGCTCATGTGAAACCTAAACTTAGGCCATGAAAGAACAGAGCAAGGAAACAGTGCATGGTTCAAAGTCAGAAAAGGGCACTGCAATCCCAGAGGCACACGGTTCAAATCCACCAGATGCTCTGCCGGGAAAAGGAGGGACAATCTCCTCCTGTACTAGTCAGATCTGATTTGACAGTACACGCACATACACACACAAAATAATAGAATAATAATAAAAAACTTTAAAAAAAAAAGAAAGTCTCAAAGTCAGAAAAGGGTTTTCTAAAGCTGAAAGAACTGAAAAAAACAAATTCAATCTAATACAATAACTATTAATAGAGGAGTATAATAGTGTCCCTCTATTATTCTATAGTTTTCAGAGGCCTGCTATTTAAGAAATGGATGAACAATCCTTCCTGGTCTATGATATAATTGCTAAGAAATTTAGTTTTAAAGCAAAAAGAACGGGAGAGTAATATAGAAGCTCAATTAATAGAAAATATTATTTTCTGGTAATGACTCAATTAAAAGAAAATATTCTCTTCTGATTGTTTTTGTTTCCCTAATTGTTGTTGTTAAAGTGCTATTCAGTCAAGAATGAATCATAGCAACCCTGTGAACAACAAATCTGAACCGTGTCCTAGCCTGTGCCATCCTCACACTTCCTGACACACTAGAGCCCATTTCAGCAGTCACTGTGTCACACCACCTGGTTGAGGATCTTCCTCTCCGCTGACCCTCTGCCTTTCTAAGCATCATGTCCCTCTCCAAGGAATAGCCATTACTAACAACAGACCCAAAGTATGTAAGGCGAAGCTTTATTATCTTTGCCTCCAAAGAGTACTCTGGTTGCACCTACTCCAAGACATATTTGTTTGTTCTTTTGGTAATTCATGGCATGTTCAGTACTTTTCTCCAAATGTAAATAGCATAAAGACTTTTGCTTAGATCTAAAGGCTAAGATGTCAAATTTTACAGTATTATCAAGTGGTATTATTTAAAGAAACTAAATTTGATAACGTTTCAAATCCTTATTTGTTTTAAACATTAAGTGCACCCCAAAACTAATATTTCTTTTTCTTCTACACAACATTCTTTTCTCAGTATTTTATGCACTTATGTAACTGTTTGTTGCTTTATAGCGAAGAACTACGCAAAGAAGCAAGACAATTGAAGAAGGAACTCTTAGCAGCAAAGCAAAAAAAAGTTGAAAATGAAGCAAAACAAGCAGAAAAAAGAAGTGATGGTAAGGGCATTTATTAGATTTCTTTTTCTTTTTTTTTTAGATTTCTATTTTCACTTGACAATACTGATTCTCTTGCTTCTTCCTGAGTTAGTTTTTCTTGTTGTTTTATGTAATGCTTTTTTTGGACATCTAGCCGGTAAAATAAATTTCCATCTAGAACTTTTGTTTGAGAAGTAACTTTAACATAAGCATTATAATAATTATAGTCTCTAAATAAATTTATTGAGAACCAACAGACTTGGCTCAAGGCAAAATTTAAATATTGTCTTAACTGATAACTGGATTAAAGGTGCATAGAGGTTGGAACGTCTGTTTATCTATCTCATCCTTTAAAAACATTATATTTTCTGGGCCCTCTATTTGGGACTTATGTAAACATTTGTATATTGGTGTGGATAATATTAAATAACTCATTTTCACACTTGTGTTTAATCCCTTTTTACTTTTAATCTCATTTAATCACATTTTTAATTGACTTATATACAATAATTTGTTTGCCTTGGATTTAATTCATATACATTATCTTTCATATAATCCCTCATTTACATTGTTTCAGTGTATCCCATTTAATTAATTACCACTGACCAATACCTATTATTACACCATCTTTTCAAATCCCAACTGAATCTTTCCAGTTCCCTCGCCCTCCTCCCAACCCACCCACTAAACTCTGTTATCCTAGTTCTCTCCGTTTCCCCCTTTTTCCTCCCCTTCAACTTTTCCTTGTCACCTTAGACATTTATACACATCTTACTAGCTATTCTTCTATTTTTTATTTTTTAAGACAATTTATATATAATCATTCAGATAGATAGATGATGATAGATAGATAGATAGATAGATAGATAGATAGATATAGATATAGATATATATCCAGATTAGTAGAGAAACTATGTACCATTTAATGTAATACTCAGTTTACCATATGACTCATGAAATGAGGGAGAAGAACAAGCAAACAAGCCAAACCCTGTAAATCTGCGGAACATGCTTTCTAAGGCAGCTGGCACCTGGTCAGTTAAAAATAATTAGCAGAATGTATGCTTGGTAGTATTACAGTGGGCTCCGATGGCTTAGTGCTTTTCATGTTGGGTTACTAGTCCTAAAGCCAGCACTTCGAATCCATAACTACTGTGTACAAAAGGATGAAAGAACTCAGGTCAGCCTTGGAAACCCCAAAGAGGATGGCTGTGCGTGGCAAGTGACCCTACAGCCGGGGTTAGGTTTCTGTCTTGGTTAACATAACATTTATTTACAGAATTTGTGAGGTTGAATATTAAGAATGTGTTTGTTTTCTTTCTGATGATAGGTTAACAGGAATAAATATCAATGGAGAAAGGAAACCACATTTTGGTAGGTTAGTTTATCTTGCTAGGATTGTCCAAGATCCAAAGGTCCAGATGTTATGGTTCTGTGTTTTCCTGATCATTTAACTTCTCTCTATATTTGGGAACCTTCTCATAATAATCCTTATCCAAACAAACTCTTGACTTCACACTTGCATGTACTTTTTCCTCATAAACTTGTCCTTTGCTGACTTCTATTTCTCCACAAACATTGTTTCCACTTCCTTATGAAGAAGAAAACCATTTATTTTTCTAGATGCTCAGTACAGATAGCTGTCTTCATTCCAGCAGAGTATATAGAGTGTGCATTGCTGGCAGTAATGTCCTATCATCACTGTGTGGTGTGGCTGTCTGTGGGTTTGTGTCCAGATGGCTGTCATGTCTTGGATCACTGGGACATATGTAGGTTCAGGGGACGGTGCATTTACATTGTGTCTCCTATACTAGGGGCAGAATATAACTGATCATTATTTTTGTGAACTTCTTGCACTTCTGAAGCTGGCTTCTGCAGATATCTACCAGGCTGGGATAGCCATTTTATAAGTTGGAATGATGATACATCCTAGCACCTCTCTTCTTCATCCTTGTCTCCTACTTAGATATTATCTGCACTGTGATGTGGATACATTCTGGGAAAGGAAGGCTTAAGGTGTTTTCCACCTGTGGTTCCCATCTCACTGTTGGGGTTCTCTCCTTTGACTCTGAAATATTTTTCTACATGAGACCCAATTCCAAGGCAGTGAGTGAAAATGATAAGGTTGTCTTTGTGTTCTATTGTATTATGACTTCTGTGTTAAACCCCATATTTACAACCTGAAGAAAAAGAAAAAGGGAACTTTCAGGAAACTGACTCAGAGAACCAGTGATTTATTTCTTTCTCCTTCCTTCCTTCCTCCCTCCCTCCCTCCCTCCCTCCCTCCCTTTCTCTCTTTCTTTCTTTTTTTGGGGGGTGTGTTGGGTTTTTCCCCCCTTTTTAATTCATTGTTGCACATTTTTTGACTCCCTCCTGCCCTTCCCCTTCCTCAGACCACCCTTCAATGCACCCCCTCTTCCAGATTTTTCTCATACATATTATACATAATTATGGACAGTTCTTTATCCTCATCTGTTCTAATCCAGTATATTCTTTTATTTTTACAAAGTGGTCTTATGTAGTATTTGTCCTTGCAAGACTGAGTTAGTTCACTCAGCAAATGCTCTGTAAACTTTCTAATTTTGCATAATGTTTTACTAAGTCATTGTTCCTTAGTGCTGCATAGTATTCCTTTGTGTGAATGTACCACAGATTGTCAATCTATTGGTTTGTTGATGGACCTTTGGGCCATTTACATTTTTATGCTATTTACTGTTTCAGTGTTATTGTGAATAATGCTTCGAACATTAGGTATACATATCTCCATTTGTGTATCAGTTCTAAATTCCCTGGGATATATTCATAGCAGTATAAGATTTCTATGTTCAGTTTTTAGAGGAAACACCAAACTGCCTTTTAGAATGGTAGTACTGCTTTACAATCCCACTACATGATATTTCCATCCTCTCCACATCATCTCCAGCATTTATTGTCTGCTGTCCTCAATTGCAGTTTTCATTTGCATCTTTCTTATTGCCAGGTGTTTTAAGCATTTTTCCATATGTCTGTTGGCCATCTGAATGTCTTCCTCTGTGAAAGTTCTTTCCATGTCTTTTTGCCCATTTTGCAATTTGGTTATCAGTCTTTTTCTTGTGGAGGCCCTGTAGGATTCTGTAAACTTTTGTTATGAGACCCATATCTGAGATGGCATTGCCAAATGTTTATTCCTAGTTGGTAGAGTTGGTAAAATTTTGTTTTACCCTATTGGAAAAAGGTTTTGATGCACACAAGGATTTAATCTTTAGAAGGTTTCATTGATCAATTTTATCATCTCCTGATTGTGCATTTCTGGCTATATTTGTCAGCCTCTCTATTCCAAAGACTAGGCCTTCTGAGTTTCATCTCTTTTTCTCTTTTATGTTCTTTATAGTCTGGGGTATTACCCCCAGGTTTCTGTTTTACCTTGAGTTGATTTTTGTATGTGGTGTGAGATTTGGTTCCTGTTTCAACTTCCTTCAGGTAGAAGTCCTCTTTTGTCATCTACATTTGTTGAAGTGTTATCATGTCCTCATTTGATAGGTTTTGTTGCTTTATCAAATATCAGATAGGTGGGTCTATTTCTATGTTCTCAATTCCGTTTCATTAGTCTATGTGACTGTCATTCTACCAGTATGATGCTGTCTTTTTTATTATCACTGTATATTGATTTTGAGGTCAGGGAGTGCTGAGTCTCTCACTTCATGTTTTTCAGAAGTGCTTTGTTTATTCAGGGTCTCTTTCCTCTCAAAATATACTCAACAATTGCCTTTTCAATCTCCTTGAAAAATTAATTTAGTATCTGTATTGGAATTGAATTAGTTCTTGAATGGGCATCTTTACTCCTCAATAGTTTGAAGAGTTCCCTAACTTACACACTTGCCTAGTACAATATGTCTCCTGATTTTCTGACTACTGGTACCAAGGGTATTGATTATATATCCAAGTAGGATAAAATTATTAACAGTTTCAATATTTTCTCCATCTATCATGATATTAGCGTCGAGGACTCTCCCTCATAGGGTCGCTATGAGTCGCCTGCAAATCGACGCCACTTAACAACTACAACAGCATCATGATATTGACCATAGCTGACCCTCCAGTGGGTTTTCAGAGGCAGTTAATCACACGGGAGGAAATTGCCCATCCTTCTGCCGCTAAGTGACTGGTGGCCTCGAACGGAGTGCCTTTGGGATTGCAGTGCAGCTTCTTGCTACTAGGCCACCAGAGACATACTTTGGACATGTTGCAAGGTGGGATCAGTCCTTGGAGAGGGACATCATGCTTGTGAGGGTGGAGGGATAGCACAGGAGAGGAAGACCCTCAGTGAGATGGATTGATTCACACACTGGGGTAATGGGGATAGGTGTGTCAGAGACAGTAAGATTGTCAAGGGATAGAGTAGGATTTAGGGCTGTTGTACAACGGATCGCTATGATTTGCACGTGACTCGACAGCACATAACAACAACAACAAACCACATTTTGATATTGCCTATAGGTCCAGTGATAAGAAAGATTTTTTTCTTGTCATTGAGATGCAATTGATATTGAAAACTGTATTCTTTGATCCACAGATGCAGCTGATTTGATTTTTCTGTTTCATGTGATGAGGTCATTATATATAATCTCTGGCTTTGTTCTTTAAAAAAGTATTGGCAATGAATAAGTCAGTTGAATACAAAATTCTCTCATGTGATCTTTTGCATTATTTTAGTCCCTAAGGCCATATTTTCCAACAACTGATCCTTCTTTGTTTCCACTGTTGAATTTCAATCACTAGTAATTATCAGTGTATCATGATTGTGTGTTTGATCAATTTCAGACTGCAGATGTTGGTGGTTGTTATGTGCCATTGCGTTAACTATGACTTATAATGACCCTGTGCACAATAGCTCTGAACCCTGTCCTAATCCTAAGCCAATATCACTGTCTCCAACAAACCTACCCTCATCAACACAGTTACTATACCAATCTATTTAATCCAGGCTCTTCCTCTCTTTCACTGTCCCTCTATCCTTCCAAGCTTGATGTCTTTCCTCATGG